ATGTTTATCGTGACCATTGTTGTCTGTTGTGGACATTAATGTATGCCTTGGACATTAATGTCTGCTGTGGACATCAATGTTTACCATAACCATCGTTGTCTGCTGTGGACATTAAAGTTTGCTGTGGACATCAATGTTTACCATAACCATCATTGTCTGCTGTGGACATTAATGTTTGCTGTGGACATTCATTTCTGCCATGGACAACAGTCTGCTGTGGACATAAATGTTTACAGTGGACATGATTGTTTACAGTGGACATTATTGTCTGCTGAGGACATTAATGTCTGCTGTTAGCCACAGGACAGCTTTGGTTGAGTGGTTAGAGCAGTCGTCCTCCAATGTAAGAGTTGGGGGTTCGATTCCACCAGCAGTCACATGCCGAAGTGTCCCTGGGCAAAACACTGAACCCCTCATTGCCTCTGATGTGTGTCCCCTCAGTGTATGAATGTGATAAAGCTCTGGTTAGTCTTTGTACAGATCTACTAGAGAGCTGTGTGAATGGGTAAATGAGGCACAGATTGTAGTAAAGAGCTTTGAGTATATCAATAAGATGGAAAGGAGCCGTATACGTACAGTCCATTTACCGTTGACATTAATGTCTGCCGTTTATATTAATGTCTGCAGTGGACATTCATGTCCACTGCAGACATTCATGTCCACTGCAGTGGACAATAATGTCTGCAGTGGACACCAGTTTGAGATGGAGCATGTCTGACTGAATCATGTCCAACTCAGACTGCAGAAGCTGAAAGTACTTGACATCTGTGTTAGAATGACAATAAATAATATACATCAACAGAAATATTTAATATCTTCTACAAGTTCTGCCCAGGTCTCTTCCCAGAGACACGAGCCCTGAACACCTCCAAAGAGAGGCGTCTTGCCCAGATGTTCCTCCTCAGCTGACTCCTTCAGATGCAGAGGAGCAGCAGATCTACTCTGAGGTTTTAAAAAACTGGATTAAAGCTTCTCCACAAAATATATTTCTAATAAAAAATGTTATTACATCAGAGGAACTGACGTCGTCACAGGAAACAGCACAATAAATAGCAGAGGTTTGTCAGAACCATTGAAGGCCATAATCCTGTTAGCTGTTTCCAGTGGATCTGCAGGACTGACTCATTTACTGTAGAGGTTTTAAAACCAGACAGAACAAGTTCCATAAAAATCAGCTGTGAGCTGGCAGCAATGTGTCTCGTGGTGAAACCAAGCTGAGAGGGGACGAGTGGGTCGAGCAACTTTTTCCTTCCAGCAGGTGAAATGATGCCACGAGCCTCCACCTGCAGAGAAACCTTAAAGGGTGGGGTCAGATTAAAGGTTCAGGTTCAGGTTCTGGTTCATTTGAGCTCAAACCCGAGGAGCTGGTGGTGTCTCTACAGAAAAACCATTTGTATGCACAGAAACAGGTTTTAGTTCAGACTCCTGAATCCGGACCAGAGGAGTTTTTAAAGTCTGACTATCAGAACTCGGACCTGTGACATTGTGGGACTCCAGGACTGAAAGAGTACGTGACGCAGAGAGCGGCTCAGAGTTTAAATCCATCGGACGTGAGGGAGGCAGAACCTGCAGAGTGAACATTTTTTATCAAAGAGGGTCGAGAAGTGACAAGAATTAACGTGTGACCCAGTGAGGAGGAGATTCGTGTGGAGGCTGGAGGAGCGAGCGTCAGATTATTTACAGACGGCAGACACACGTCTTTGTGACCAACAGTTTTGTGGTTTCTTCAGCTTCTTCTTTAAATCCATTATACAATGGGTCCCACGTAAGCTGGCTCTTGGTATTAATGTTACCGT